CATTACTCTTGAATGATACTCTCTAAATGTTATTAATTAGTATAATAAAGTATCGGAGACCTTGGTGTCTTAGATCATTGTGGGTACAAGTTAAGGAGTTAACATTTTTAGCTTTCATCATGGATATACAATTATCTTTCATGATGTAAATAGTGAAGCAAATGGTGCGGCAGATGGTTTGGCAAAAAAAAAGAGTTGTTTTGGATTTGTTAACTGTCTCATCTATAATATTTTGAGTTATGAGTTGTAATTCCCATTTAGTTAATAAAAAAAATAAGTATTCTTGTCAGAAAAAAAAAAAAAAAAAAAAGAAGAGTGAGATAGAGGCCAATTTAAAATAAAAAAAAATAAGGATCAAAGATAATATCTATACACTTGGGGAAAAAAGAACTAGGGCTGGCAACAAGCTGGGCTTGGGCCGGCCCATCCCTGACACTAGCTCATAGGGCTAGCCCATGCTCAGCCCTCGCCCTGTCAAGGCGGGGTTGGGTCAATAGAAAGCAAGAAAAATAAAAGACAGAAACAAAGATAAAAAAGGACCGGGGCAAGCCGAATCAGACCATCCCAAAACTAGGCCCAGCCTAACCCGCCCTACCTTCGGGCCTTGATGGTCTAGCCTTGGCCCGATCCTCAAACCATATTTTAAGTTTTTAGAGCCAAGCCGACCGGGCCAGGCTGGACTAAGTCAAGCCGTTCCATTGCCCCCCCTAGAGAGCAAAAGTCAGCATGTGAATGAGAAGAGTGAGGGCAAGTTCATTTGATCTTTTGTGAGGGTGAGGGCCACAAATCGTTTGTAAGTGAAGATGATGTACTTTGTTGCAGGGGCGTAGGTGATGAAAAGAGACGTCACTACTCACTCTTTCGGCCTTCAATTCACATCTATCGTACGGAAAAACCCTAGCCTACCCAACTGCCCTAAACCACCCTCACCAAATTTACCTTTACTACGAAGCTAGTTATACCCAAATTTACCTCTTTTAGTACAAAAATTCTAATGAAGATACAAATTTTGGTTCAAAGTAATGTCAGGGTTTTAAAATCTCGCAATGTGCACGGGCAACTAACAATTTAAAATGGAAATCGGTTGAGACCATACCTATTTAAGGGAAGTATATGAACCATTATTATCCTCATCTAGAACATCTACTTTCATATTTTTTTCTCTTTTTCGAGATGCTTCAATATAAAGAAAATGATTTCAAGTTCTAAAAATAACATATCGTAATAAGTTATCTAGAGCGTCTATTGCAAGATTTACAAGTAAGAAGGCCTAAGCATGGAACCTAAACCAATTCAATGGTAAAAAATATGAGAGAATTCATGCAATTGGCATAAAAGTTTTAGTTGTATATTTTTGCTTATTTTCATCCAAGTATACAACTATTTCACATTTAATTTCTGCAATTGTAATCTCATACAAGGTTTTATAGAGCCAACTTTAAACAATCAAGTAAGGAGCACTTCCAAACCTTCTGGAAAATGCAATTCTGTTGTTGAAAACCCTTATAGTGACTACAAAATCTACTTCTAACCCCTAAATTATAACATTTAAAGCTTCAAAATAGTGTAAATTGAGTAGACCTAGAGACAAAAAAAAAACCTTGAAAATTTCAATGCCCCAAATAATGTGTTATAAGCGTGTTATTTTTAGGGCTTTATTCTATTTTTTTTTTCTACGTTGCGAGGTTGAGGTGATCAATTACTTGGAACATTTCACATCATGTTTTGAGACCCGCCTTAGTTTTATAATTTTTTTTATTTATAATCTTGATGTTGGGCATGATTAATTAAAGGGGTTTTCATTGTCAAAACAATCTTTTAAGTGCGTGTTTCAAGCTCATGATACTCTTAATAGCATAAAATTAGAGTAATGATCCTATGAGACCCTTTCACACCCATGTGTAGGCCCCCAAAGGATCACCAATAAATTTGGCACAGATCTCTAGAAATATAAAGTCCCACACCCATGTGATAACTTTTTTAGATATCTGAACTAAATTTAATGGTGATTGTTTGGAGTCCTATACACATGGGTGTGGGAGGGTCTCATAAATTCATTACTCTAAAATTAAATGTAATATAGAATCGATTTGGTGTATAAAGTTTTATTATTATATTACTATTATTATTATTATGTGGTACTCATACATATGAGTACTCCATTAATATACTCAACTCTTTTTAATACTCATATATCCTTGTTTTGTAATACAATTTTTTTTAATAAGGGCACATTTCGTATATGGAGGGGTAAGATAAATATTTTTATAAAAAAATAGTGACATTCAAAGTGGATGATGACACCTGCCGCTATATGTAATAAATGTTATTGTTTCTATCAAGAATTTCAATATTATCCATGTGTAATTAATTAATACCCCTAGGAAAAAATGTTACACATGATGGAGTAAGGGTATTGAATATAAAAAAATGTTGAGTACATTAAGTAAATATAGGGGTGACAATGGACCTGGACCCGACTCGGGACCTACCAAGTATACCCGAGACAGGTCCGGGTATGAGTCTAACATTTGGACCCGTGGGTCGGGTTGGGTTTAGGTCCAGGGTCCAAAACTTGGACCCGGATGCTATTCACATTTGGGTCCAGGTCCGGTTGGACCTAACCCATACCCGTAAACTGTTGGAGATAAAATACTTTAAGCCGTAATCGTTTGGGTGTGTAATGGATTGTATATAATAAAAAGTAGTAGTCATCTTTAGCTATTAAATGACAATTTATACGGCTTGAAATCTAATGACGGGTGATTGTGACCCCGTTGCCAAGGGTATATGATGGTAAAAAAGGGGACAAAAACAAAATTGAAGATTCATTGTGAGTGGAAATGAATTTGACTAGACCCAGGACCCGATAGGATAGACTTGAGACCCGATGGGTCCAACTTTTAGACCCTACGGATAAGGTCGGATTCCAAAACCTAGACCCGAATACTATTCCAATCTAAGTTTATGTCCGATCAGAATTCGACCCGTTACCTCCCTAAATAAATACTTATATATATATGGGTACCCTAACATAACCCTATTGCTATTTTAAAATTCGCTAGCAGAACAATATTATGTTCCAAAGTGGCCGGAATACAACAATCTCTTAAGCAATGCCAACCAAAGGGTAACATGTTTAATTTTAAATAAGGATAAATTAAGGCTTGGAAATAAAAAAGAACAAGCAATAAAATAAAAGAATTCCATGTTGCACATGGGATCATTCCTTTTCACATAATAACTTAATTCAATTTTATCATCTTGCTCCCATTGACGAACACAAAGCATCAATTGGTCCCATTTATATTTTCCAAATATTTTTAATCCACATAGAAAAATGAAAAATTAAAGCATTGCTGCTCCCATTAATATTTTCCAAATACTTTTTAATGTAAATATAAACAATAAAAAATGACGAAGAGAAGTTGAACAATTATGGCGGTTCACATTCTGACCCCGCCGATCAATAAATTATGTTGATACCCTTGTTATTCAACCAATTAACTGGAATATACCTATAATTCTCATATACCGAAACTGTCCTCCATGCATTGAGAAAATTTCAAGACTACCGCTTACACCATAATTACAAAACTACCCTTCCTCTTCTAGAATGACACCTATGTCCTACCGTCCACATTTCCTCTTGAGAAAATTTCAACACTACCTCTGACAATAATTACAAAACTACCCTTGCGCTTCTAGAATGACACCTATGTCCTACCATCCATATTTCCTTTTATGTCCCATACGAAATAGTATTTCTTAAATGCCCGTCAGCTTAGCTTGGAGCGGTTTCTTAAAATCCGGATCGAGAGGCGGTTCGTTCACCCTGTGAGATTGTTGGATTGGTGATTTGGATCAACTTTGAATTTATTCAAATCAATAATTTAAAAAATAGAATAAAAATTAAAATAAGCATTTTTAGGATGGGGATTTAAAAGAGGGAAAAAATTATACAAGAGTGATACTCTAAACAATCAAATTAAGGCGCACATCAAAATTTCACTAAAAAAGATTGTTTTGATATTGAAAAATCCTAAGATCATCTCGACCACAAGATGTATGGACAAAAAATATATTTTGAGTATTGAAAATATTGTATTATAGGATGTATTATTTAGACCATCAATTTTTAAGATTTTTAAATGTTAATGGATCAACTCGATTTATAATTTAAAAAACTAAATTTTCTAACCATCACAAAGATTTCAAACACTGAAATAACATATTTCGGCACCATTTAAAAGTGAGTCTTACCTCAATTGTTTTGGGCCTCCACCTTTTTGCAAACCACACCCTTAAAGAGATGGAAAAAACATTAGAGAAGCTTTGGAGAAAAGGAAAAAAACAAAATATAAGGATGGATGGTAAGGGGAAACTATCGTGGTTCAATCTTGGCTAAGCCTTATCTAAAGTTCCAGATAGATGCTTCGAGGAGTTTTAAAATGCTCAAGAGCGTTCATAAATAGATAATGGGAGTTTGTCTTGCGCTTTTTACTTATTTAAAGCTGAGACCTTAGACAATCAAATTAAAGTGCATCTCAAAAATTCACTAAAATAGGTTGTTTTAATGCTAAAAATTCGTCAAATTGATCATCTTGATTTCAAGATGTATTGACATGAGAAAGAGTGGATTTCAAACATTAAAAATAGAATATCTTGAAATGCATTTTCTGGACCGTCAATTTTTTAACTATTTATAAATCTGCTTAATCTACACTATTTTTGAAATTTTAAATTTTATAATTGAAAGTAAAAATAAATGTTCCGACCATTACAAATATTTCAATTACTGAAACAACATTTTTTGACACTATTTAAAAGTGCGTTTTACTTTGATCGTTTAGAGCCTCAGCTTTACACAAACCTCACTATTAAGCATATTTCAAATGCTCAAAGGGTATTTGGGTCACTATTTCGGCAGGGTTTGTCAGAGAGTTATTTCCGATATTTTTCTGGCTTGTGGGGGTGATAGTAAATTCTCTTTCTATAAATACCACAGCAGCAGGTCGGGTGCGTCCTCCGACCCATCTTCCGATTCCTGAGGGGAAAAAGAGGACGAAGAAAGAAGGCGGAGCCGCATTTATCTTTCTTGGCTTAAAGTATAACCCCTGAAATTAGCCCTCATTCCCTCCGAACTGTAAGAGATTTTCCAGATCTGGAGGCTTTTGCTGTAAATTAGGGCCTATTTTGAGGTTTTCACTCCCTTCTCTCAGGTTAGTCCAAGCGGCATTTAGTCCATTTCTAGAGAGAGAAAGTGTGTCTGTTTTAGGGTTTAGAGATGGGTTTTTTTTCCTTTAGATCAATGGAGTGTGAGTGAGAGATACAGTGCCTTCTCATTTGGCCGTCTAGAGAGAGAGAGAGACAGCATTTGTTCTGTTGTGTTTGTTACTGGTGTAGAGCATTTTGTTTTTCACCTATTTTTGTTATGTTTTCCCAAGAAATGTAGTTTTCTTTTGACAACCTAATTCAGTTGGTTCTGTTAAGAAATGAAGAATGTGGTTTTCTTAATATCATTCTATTTCTTTCCGTTCCCCTTCGTATTTTTGTTCTTCGTTTCTTCTGTTATGGTTTTTGGTTCTGATCATTGTGTTTTTATTTGTTGAATATATGCAGGCTTTATTTTTAGGGATTGTGTACAAAGAGACCATTTATCTTTTGTACATGTACAAAAGATAAATGGTCTCTTTAAAATCCAATATCTTTTTTTATTTTAGTCTATAAATAACGTCGTTTTAGTTGCAAAATCTTTTTTTTTTTCAATTGTAATTTCCTTATACTTTGGGGTTATTGTCTGTTTCTCTGGTTTCCATTTTTTTGCTAATAATGGTTAATTTGCTTTTCCAACCGATATCTAATTTTAATCAAATTAACATTTTCATTTTAAGTGGGTCTTTTTTCTTGGCCATGGTATTCATCGTTATTTTTGTAAATCTTATATGCTAGCAATTGCATATTGTTTTTTCTTCAGAATTTTCTTTACCTTCCATTTTCTTTTTCACATATTTGAGAATTTCTTTTGTATAGTTTTTCCAGGGTATAATTAATTAGTGTCAGACTTCATGAATGCTTTTTAGAAGGTGAAGTTCAAAGCTTATTTATTATCTTTTGAATCCTCATGTTCATTTTCAGTTCCTGCTATGAGAACATTGGTTGACTTTTTTAATTATTGCAATTACGGTGGGTGCATGAAAATGTGTTTATAATCAGTGGAAAATTGGGAAATTATATTGTCTAAAGCTTGATTTGTCATTAAATAAGGTGCCCTTTCCTATTTCTTCTGCATTTTCTCTTTTTCTTTGTATCCTATTTTTCTATAAGCTTCCCTTATTTCACAGTGTGCTTCCTTGGTTTATTTTGATTGCTTTTCTTGATATATTTTGATTTTTGGCATACCACGCCACTGATTTTCTCTTTAATTTTTCTGTGGTTTTCTATTTTCTGATTCTCAAACTAGGTCCCATGCTTTTCAGTTCCTTTCTCATACCATTTTCTCATCCAGAATCTTACTCAACTTGTGCATATATTTTTGTGGATTTAAGTGATTTTTATTTTTTCAAAGAAACTGGGTTTGATTTCTTCTGCTATATCCATCTCTTGTTGCATTCCATGAGGCATTGCTCTGAAATATTTGCAGATAAGTTCTTTCCGGAATGGTTACCCGAGCTCGAACATAAGTATTGTTTTGTGAGAGGACACAACTTATTTTTTTCAGTATGCAACATGTGTATAATGTGCTTTTATGTCTTCAATACCAATGAAGAAATAAGAATATTCTTGCTTTCCCCTATTTCATTTTTTTTAATCTGTTTCTGTGTTTCTGGATAGTGCTTCTATCTATTTTTTTCCGCTTGCTGCATACTTCATTACTTGAATCACATTTTTAATTTCTGAGTGCATAATTCTCTTTATGAGTGTGTGTGGGGGCTTGTGTGTGTGCTTGTGGGTAAGTGTATGTTTTTGTGTGCATTATTGTTATGACAGAGCAGTAAGTTTCAATGTTGTTTTTGTACACTAATGAGATCGGTTGCCTCTTCTTTGCGTTTAGGTGTTGTTGTTCTAGGAAAATGGCGAGCCAGTACTCATTTTGGCAACTGGGAGAGGAGCTTCGAGGCCAGTCTAAGGCGACAGAGGAGCATCAATGGATGATGGTCGCATCTAAACTTGCTGAGCAGTTGAGGTCCAAAGCCCCACGAATCAACAACATTGACCCCACCAAAGCCCCTGCAGAGCCAAGAGTCAAGGAGAAATCCAATTCTCAGGATGATAACAAATTTGAGACCTTCAACTTTGACCTGATGAATTTGGATTTGAAAATGAATGACGCCACTACCAAAATCCCATACCGAAATGGAGGCTACAATGTGATCAATTCTTATCAGAAAAGCAACATGACCAACATCAACAATGTCAATGTTGCTGTCAATAATATTAGCAATTTTAACAGCACTATTTCAACTGGTAAATTAAACATGAATATTAGCCACAATGTGAACAACAATAGCCATAACAACAACAATAACAGCAACAATTGTGTCATTAGTGGTAATGGCAATAGCAACAATAGTGCTGTTGATAAGCGATTTAAAACTCTTCCTTCTACCGAGATGCTACCACGAGATGCAACTCTGGGGGGCTACATATTTGTGTGCAACAATGACACCATGCAGGAGGATCTGAAGAAGCAGCTATTTGGTAAAATTTCTTGCTCATATTCCATGATATTGTTTCTTGGTTGAGTCTTTCAGTCAGTGGTGAACTTGGTTTATTGGTTCCCTACTTAAGAGGAAAACATGGTTCATCTTTAGAAGGTCTTTTTTCTATCTAAACACAAGTTTTGCATGCAAATACAGGTTGTGTGCTTTCAGAGTTCATATGGATGGTCTAGATTTAAGAAAATGTTTGAGCTTGAGTTTTGGTCCTTTATATATTATCCTTAACTTGGTTTTCTTGGTTGGATTTCGTGGCATCTTTTTTAATTTGATATGCTGTATTTTTTTATTTTGATGGTTAGATTATTATGGTGCTTGATAATGGAGGTCTTGGTTGAGATTTCACAGTATTATGCTGTGCCCGTATTCCGTGTTACTGTTCCTTGGTTGAGTTTTTCCAGTTATGATGAACTGGGTTTATTCGTTCCTGACTTAGAGGAGGGCATGGTTCATCTTTAGAAGGCCTTTTTCTATCTAGACACAAGTTTTACATGTAGGCACAAGTTGTGTGCTTCCAGAGTTTATATGGATGGTCTAGATTTAAGAAAATGTTTGAGCTTGAGTTTTGGTTCCCCCCTCCTTTTTTTGAATTTCACTTCATCCTTTACTTGGTTTTCTTGGTTCGATTTATTCGCATCTTTTTTTATTTTGATATGATGTAATATTTTATTTGTATTGTTAGATTAAGATGATGCTTGATAATGGCTGTCTTGGTTGAATTTTCATAGTTTTATGCTGCATTGGGTTTTGGTATCTTGCTGATTAATGAGAAGAAACGGAGTTCATGATGCCCCATTTCATGCATGCAAAAGTAATCTGGGTTTACATTTTATTAGGATGGCCCCGATTGAATATGATGCTTTTGCCATTTCGAATACTGGCTCATCAGTTTGAAAGAGTCTTTTCCTGATAATTTGTTATTGGAAAGTGGGCTTATTAACTACAAATTTGGTTGCCTTTAAGAATGTCTTCCCTTTGATATAAAATGGATTTCCTTGCATCTTAAACCATTTTGTAGCTGAATTGCAGGCTAATTCATAAGCTTGCAAGCTTTTCTAGACCGTAGAAGCCAGAGAGACAAGGGGAGCTTGTCCAAAAGCATGAGTTGGTGCAAAATTTGAATAATAAGTGCTGCCTGCCGGGGCAGGAGCACGACTGGAGGTGAATCTGGCTTCTAAGGTCTAGACTTAGTGAGCCACCTTTAGCTTTTGAAAGATTTATTTGTTGACTTTCTAGCGAGTTTTCATATTTTTGGAATTGGAAGAGATTTATGTTATATTATGTGAAAAGAATGTCATTCAATTTATAGTTTTAACTTTGTAAATTGCTTGAACGTTGAATAGTTGATTCCTGTGTATAAGTAAATTTAGGTGATTCTTCTTTGATTTAGCTGTTCATTGAATTGGCAGGTTTTTTTTTTTTGTGGAAAGTGTTAACTATTGTATTGAGTAAAGAAGAATCGGCGGCCCGCAAGGAGAGTGCTTGAATCCAAAAACCCCTTAAGGGGCCCAAAAAATCAATACAACCCTTATAGACAGCCTAAAAATAACTAGAACAGAATATACAAGAGACGGGACTTGAGAACTCAAATAATGCCCAATATGCTGTTACAAGTTTGCATTTCCAGACTCCAGATTTTTCTTTTGCAAATGTTTATTTTCAATCAGGTTCCTTTCTTGAACATTTGCTCACTGGTGACTTGTTAATTGGTTGATAATCCTTGTGTGTGTGCGTGCAAGTGTGTAAATGTGATGTCTGCCTTTCTGGTTCTCTGCTTGCCTGTTTATGCCTTACTTTTTGGATCAATCATGTTTGCTTATGATCTTCAACCTTTCAGGCTTGCCCCAAAGGTATAGGGATTCTGTGCGGGCAATCACACCAGGATTGCCACTCTTCCTCTATAACTATACCACTCATCAGCTACATGGGATTTTTGAGGTGGATGCATAAATGGCTGAAGTGCTTTGTTATTTTTGTTGATTTATGTTCTTTGATTTTGTATTTTTCTTTTGGCTAACCTGATTAGTGGGTTTTGTTCTGTTGCTTCAGGCTACAAGTTTCGGGGGGTCGAACATTGACCCAACAGCTTGGGAAGACAAAAAATGCAAAGGCGAATCAAGGTTTCCTGCCCAGGTAAAAGTTTTAAAAAAAAAAAAAAAAAAAAAAATTACAAAAGTAAGCAGTTTAAAGCCTTATCAAGTTGGTGATTTTCATTGAATCTTTTATGTATTGTGCTGAAAAATAAACAGGTTAGGATTCGTGTTCGAAAGCTTTGCAAAGCTTTGGACGAGGATGCTTTTAGGCCAGTTCTGCATCATTATGATGGCCCCAAGTTCCGTCTTGAGCTTTCCATACCAGAGGTAACAAGATTCTTACCCATATACGGTGAGATTTTGCAAATGCGTGTAATATATACGCAAGCAAATTGCACATTCCATGTTAGTTGTAGCTGTTACTCACCTGGCTGTTACGAGTGCGTGCACAAATTTGCATGTGCAACCATTATGCATGTATTCTTGCTCTTATGCATGTAGGCTTTAGAGAGTGTACCCTATAATCCATTGGACTGGGAAAACCATCATCCATGGGGTTATCGACAGACCCTTCAAAAAGCACTGTAATGGAGCGAGTGCGGCCCACCAGAACAAGCCATGACTCTGATGATGGCTCCAGATCTCTTCATAACCACCCCACTTCATTGGATGATGGAATCCACAGAAATGTGCATGCATCCACCATGTGTTGTGCATGAATCTTAAGCTTGAATTTGAACATGCTTGCATACATGTTATCAATTTACGATTGAATGTGATCTTGCACAGAAATGAACTCTAACCTCATTCTCTCTCTCTCTTATATCATTGTTTTACAGACATTGGCCTTGCTAGATCTTTGTGAACAAAATGGTGTGTGATATATGAAATACCAGATTTGAGCTTGAGCATCCTAGAAAAAGGAAAAATCAAATAAAGAAGAAAAAGAAGAAAGGGCAAGAAGGAAATAGATGTGGTTTCGGCTAATGAAGCGTAAGCTTGTGGTCTATGGAAGGCAAGCCTGAGACACATAAAGCTGTGTTTCAGGTTTGCCGAATAATCCTCATCACAAAAGAAGGATATTTAGGAAAAAGCATGATGGTGTGTTTCTAGTGTAGAAGTCGGTGGTGTTCCCAAATGTGATTATTATGTATTGTAATGGATAGGCCCTTGTGGAAAAGTCCCCATGTGGGTGTGTTGTGTTTGTATTACTGCAAAAAGTTATGGGATTATTCTGGTGTGATATGTGCCACACTTTGTATTTCTATCTATCATTTTTTGCTGGTCTATCTCATAGTAAAGCTCCCGCTTCTCTTCCTTCAAAGTGGATTCGATGTCTTTTCTCGGAAGAGAAATGTGTTGCATCCGGGTGTGCTTTCGGCCACCACAGTGAAACTAGCAACCCTCTGTCTCTCGGGTTTGCTTTCCCTTCCCTTCCCTGTAATAGTTCCACCAAACGATCACCATCTCTCTCTCTCTCTACAGGCTGGTGACTTGGAAGATCTGTGCTACCCCATGTGTGACAGCCTTTCCATGATATGTTATGTTTTTGTGAACAATGAACACATTTCAATTCTGTGAAAATGTTGCTATCGGCGATATGTGATCATGAGCGAATGGCATTCTCTATCGTGAGTGAGTGGCATCTCTTTCATACTCTTGCTTTCTCTCTCTCTCTCTCACTTTCTGTTTCTTTCTCAAAGACACAAATTACATGACTTGCACATTGACGAATTTTTAATGGTAGATTGTCTTATGCCGGTGGGCCTGCATGCATAAAGCCTCTACCATCCAATGTCTGCTGTCCTGGATGATGGAAGTTTTATGTGAGCATGCGGGCTTGCCCGCATAACATAAAGACCGTGTCCTTTTTCAAATGTCGTCATGTAGAGTGTAGTGATAGCGGCCTGCCGTCCTAGGATTTCTACATGGAGTTGTTGCTGGGTGTAATATATGTGGGGCTGCGGCTTTACTTGAAATGGATGATCCAAAAAAGTCTGGAATATGCAGTTGGATGTTTGGAAATTTATTTCTTCCTTGATTATGAAATTAGAAGCTTAGAAAATGCAGTTAATTTTTTAGGATATGTGAATACTTGCTTGAAATAGATGATCCAAAAAAGTGTTAGGTTTCTTTTGGTAGATTTGTGAAAACTTGAAACGAACAAGGGTGCAGTTGGCATACAGATACAGATGCATCCTCCGTAGCTATAGAGGTAAGGTGCACTTTCAAATTTTATCATGGTATATAATTTTGATGTAAAATGATGTTAGGATTATCTCAAATTTTATTTTTATATTTAATTATAAAATTTTAAATTTAAAAAATGGTTAAAATCAAGTAGAGCTGTAAACATATGAAAATCTTGAAAATGGACGGTGTAGATAATATGTTCTAAAATATATTATTTTTGACACTTAAAATCTTTTTATTTTTCATGGTCATGCATCTTGATGTGGAGATGATCAATCAAAGGGTTTTTCAACATTAAAACTACTTTTTTCGATGGATTTTTGAGGTGCATCCGTAGTTCTACAGTATTAAGGTTGTATCCTTATATAAACTTTTTTCAACGAGCAACACAAAAAGAATTCTTTAGAATGGGTACGGTTTGTATAGAGCTTAGGCTCTAAACAATCAAATTAGAGCCTACCTCAAATAGTGTCAAGAAATGTGGTTCCAATATTGGAAATTTTTCAATATTGGAAATCTTTGTGATAGCTTTAAAATATATTTTCATCTTTATTTATAAAGTTTAAAGGCTAAAAAATAGTGTTGATGGACTGATCTAATAAAACTTGAAAATAATACCTTACAAAATACATCATTTCAAAAACATGAAATCCAGTTTTTTTCATGCCCTGTATCTGGATGGTGAGATGATCAATTTGAGCATCAAAACAACCTTTTCTAGTGAAATTTTGAAGTAAGCTCTAATTTGATTGTTTAGAGCTTCGCTTTATATAAACTTCAAACTTTTCCCCTGTATAAACTTTTACCCTTTAGAATATGGGTGTTTTTAAGGCTGGACATCTATTTTTCACTTGAAATTATATGATTGTCAAGGTTGAGCGATTGATTTGTAAGTTTTTCAATGCTAGAAAGGCCATTTGCAGTGGGTGCAGTTTTAATAGGCTGTGGAACTTTACTCGTTGCTTGCTTCTTTGGAGTTCTTCCTACGTTGAGAATGCATACTTTTTTAACGTTACCGTACCGAGAACAGTGTTGGAAAGAAAGAACGACTTGGGCCAAGTACTCAGCCCACCACAGGGTCGAGTACTCATCTCGAGTCCAACTAACTTGGCCCGAGTTGGGCTGAGTACTATAGCAGCAAAAAAGTATTAAAAAAATAAAAAATCTAAAAAATAGAAAAATATTTTTGAAGTAATCAAAGGAGAAAGGAAAATGCAAGAATAAGTATTTATCATTGAAACACTTTTCAAAAACATTAAAAACATATTACAAATAAATTTCATTTTTTATAAAAGTTTTTAAAATTTTTTTGAAAGATTCTCGAGTTGGACAACCTAATTTTGGGATACTTGGGCTCGCCAAGCCCAAGCTTTACATGAGCGGACTCGGCCGAGCAGTCGAATATTGACCGAGAATGATGTAATGTCGATGCATAGTTTTGAGTTGATTCCAATAAGTAACTACTTGGTTCCTTGGCACTTTTTTGCCACACCATTTTCACCAAGATGATTATCTTCAGAGTTGTAAATGTTTTGACAATGATGTATATTGATGATGCATTTAAGCATATGGCTAGATGGATCCAATGAGCAACTACTTGGTTTGTCACCATTTTTTCTTCACACCATCAACATCAGCTGCACGTTTTTTAGAGTTGTAAATGGATGCAAGTTGTTCAGTTTTTGACTGGTGAGATCTACGCATTTAGTATCTAAGACTTTATTATCAAAGCGTTAAAATAATGCCTAGGCCTTTTGGACAAAATCCATAAAGTAAAGCCTCACCTTAAAACTCACTGATGCAGTTCCGGCATCGGAAAACTGTCAAATTGATTATCTTAACTTCCACTATTGTGGTTGTGAAAAAAATAGGATTGTAATATATTATCTACGCCTTCTAGTTTCAAGCGTTCACTGTACCATTTTTTGAACTACCAATTTTATAGTTGCTGTGGAAATAGATGTTAGAGTCATCATTCTCTCTCCTCGATATGTTTTGTGAGGTTTTAGAGTGAAGTTTTATTTATTTATTTACTTTTTAAAGGCTTAGGCCATATAAAAATGGTATCCTTTTTTTTTCAATAAGTTGACCTTTGGTTTTGAGAGCAAATATACTTTGGGAATAGGGCTGAAGTCATGGTGGTAGTACCGTCGGAGCTCTAATTAAAAGTATTGACCTCTATTCTCACAAACGGAATAAAAAATTGATAATTTCAAAAACAAGTAGGGACTCGTCATCTCCATTGACTTACCCAAAAAAAAAAAAGCAAATATACTTTCCCTCCCATGGGAGCATGATATGCGCACCGTTTTTTTTTTCTGATGTTCTCTTCCAAAACAAAAAGCAAACAAAACTTTATTCCAAACCCTTTTAAGATTGAAAACCAGTCTCCAAACCTTTGAGTAGAGGCTGGTTTATTATGGGAAAAAAGTAAATGCAAAAGAAGATAAAGAATTCACAAAGATTGGCTTGCCTAAAATTGGGATACAAAACTGAATTTGC